GACAGCATTGGAAGAATTTTACTTAAACTTATCAAGGTAAAGTGTCTCCTTAATTTTGAAGAATAGCTATTACTGGGGTTCCTAGGATCACTCTGCTCTTTTGGTAGGGGTTTATCCTGCACTTTAAAACATAATTGACTCATACTAACATCTTGTGTTCTTTTCTGGTGAATTCTGTTTGGTTTCTGAATACCTAATTTAATATTTTATCAACATGCCTAATTTAAAAATTTCTTGAGAGTATCTTTAAAATAAATCTTAAACTGAAACTATAGGATGAACATGTGAAAACTTTTAGCTCTTTATACTTCTGAATATATTAAGAATAAGTATTATTCATGGTCACTTGCTGGTTTATCACACAATCCTATGTGGAATGCAAACATCTAAGAGTAAACTCCCAAATTCCTTTGAGACTGAGAGGGAGAAAAGAAAAAGGAGGAGGAAGAGGAAAAGAAGGTGGCAAGAGGAGGAGAAATAGAAAAAAAAATGTCAGAAGTCTTTTTAAGAAATCAGGTTGTAATAAGATCTGCCTTACTTAAAAAAAAAAGATCCACAACCCTCATAAATCTGCAAAGGGATATCTTAAAGTTTAGATATGGACAGGTTACCTTAACTTCTTCCATTTGTCATAAATATAATCTGGATTGAACTGCCTTTATCAAACTGGTCAATTCATATTGCTATGTTGCTCCTGTGTATCCTGCATATAAAGTACCACAATTAAACTTATAGGAGTATCTTTGACAAAGAAGTAACTTGAAATACTTGTCTGGTATCCCAGTAGTGTAGATATAACTGTCAAAAATAGATTAGGTATAAAGAAATGAGATAAGTGTTTATGAATGTACTCCTCATGTAACTTAAAGTCTTAAAAAGTTCTGTTATATTGAATATTGATAAAACATCTGAGTCCTTTCTAAATATATTTAGGAAATAGGAGAAGGCTGTTGCCTATTTCTCAAAACAACTGGATATAACCACTAAGAGTGATGATATGCCTGAGTGTAGAAGTACTCATTGTGATTTGCCACAAGTAGCAGAGAAGTTAACCTCCAGCTAGTCTATCATTGTATACACTCCCCAATGTGTACTTTCCTTGCAAGAACAACAGGGGGGTGTTGACTTACCTGGCCAGATGAGGCAAGTATCAAACTATATTACTAAGCAATCTGAATGTCACCCTGAATTCAGGATAGACTTAAACACAGCCACTCCATTTCCCACTAATGCTAAAGTACCCATTTATGATTATATCTATATTATTGAACAAGTTTATTCCTTCTATCCTGAACTAATAAAGCTACCTTTGGAGGATCCAGAACTGGAGATGTCCACATACAGGAGCAATTTTGTGAACCAAGCTGTGTTAGCTTGTTGTCACTGTGATCAAATTACCTGATAAGGATACTTAGAGGAGAAAAAGTTCATGTTGTACTCACAATTTCAGATGCTTAGTTCATAGTCAACAAACTACCTTGCTTAGGGTCCAATATGAGGCAGGACATCGTAGCAGAAGGGCAGAGTTGAGGAAAGTTACTCAGCTCTTGGAAGGCAGGAACAGAGAGAAAGAGAAGGAAGAAGGAGAAAGAAAGAAAAAGAAAAGGAGGAAAAGAAGGAGGAAGAGAAAGAAGAGAGGAAGTGGAGGCAGAGGAGAAGTAGAAGAGAGAGCTAGGGAAAGATACAATCCCCAAGGGCAAATATCCTATGACCTACTTTTTCCAGCTATAACTCACCTGCTTACTGTTACCTCCCAATAATACATTCAAATTATTAATTCTTCAAGTGGATTAGTCTACTAACTAGGTTATATGTACTGTAATCTAATATTTTCACCTCTGAACATCCCTGCATTAACCCATGAGCTTTTCCAGGGACACTAAAGATACAAATCAGAAAACAAGGACAGCACAGAGCTGAGTATAGGGGGATAATCCAGAAAAAAAAAAAAAAAACAAAGGAAGCAGATGTCCTTTCACTTAGTATCTCTACCCACAAGGCAGGAGCTTGTGCCTCTCACAGTGGTCCTTCTATTTATCTAAGGAATAATTGGCATATCCAAAAAACAAACAAAAAAAAAACCAAACAAACAAAAAACAAAAAAAGAAAAAAGAAAAATCTCAAACTAAAGTATTTTATAAATTAGGTGAAAAATTCTTTGATTTTCTTATTTTGGCCCTGTTTTGGGTGAAGGTATGACTCTAAGAATTGTGTCTCTTTGTATATTCATTTTGTCAATTCATTTTGCCTTTGGAAAGTGATTTTTTTCATTATAAAAGTTGTACATTTGCATTAAATCAAATATTTGAAAAAATTACACTAAAATAAAGAAGAAAAATATATTCATCTCACTACCCACAACAAATTTAAATATTTCATTATTTTCATCCAAATGTTTTGTACATAGAAGTTTCTGATATATATTTTGGCTTTATTTATTTACTTCTTAATGTGTTTGTAGAGGATAAATCCAGGCTGCAACCTCTCTACCATTGAGCCTTCACCCCCAGCACTCTGATTTATTTTATTTATACAATTCCAAAAGGCTATATACAATACTTTGTTATTTGTGCTTATTTTTGTTATTTGTGTTTTATCCCAATTTCACATTTGCTTTCTCCATTTTTATGAATAGATGCCTTCTTTCAACTGATTTCAGAGACAGCTGATACCACAACAATCATTAAGAGCCAGCTATAAAAAATTATCCTAATTTCGGTTTAAAATGAAACATGTATAAAATGTATTTCTGAAAACATACATTGGAGAAAATGTAGCCTCTTCAACAAATGGTGCTGGGAAAACTGGAAATACATATTCAACAAAATGAAATTAAGCCCCTATCTTTCACCATGCACAAAACTCAGCTCAAAATGAACCAAGGACTTAGGAATACAACTAGAAACCCTGAATCTAATAGAAGAAAAAGTAGGCCCTAATCTCCATCATGTGGGATTAGGCCCCAACTTCTTTAATAAGACTCCTATGGCTCAAGAAATTAAAACCAAGAATCAATAAATGAGATGGACTCAAACTAAAAAGTTTCTTCTCAGCAAAAGAAATAATCTGTGAGGTGAATAGAAAGCCTACATCTTGGGAGCAAATTTTTTAACCCTCAAACATCAGATAGAGCACTAATCTCTAGGGTATATAAAGAACTTAAAAAGCTAAACACCAAAATAACAAATAACCCAATCAATAGATGGGACAAGGACATGAACAGACACTTCTCAGAAAAGAATATTCAGTCATTTAACAAATATATGAAAAAAATGTTCATCATCTCTATAATTAGAGAAATGCAAATCAAAACTACTCTAAGCTACCATTTCACTGCAGTCAAAATGGCAGCTATTATGAAGACAAACAACACAAATAAGTGTTGGCAAGGATGTGGGGGAAAAGGCACACTCATACATTGCTGGTGGGACTGCAAATTGGTACAGCCAATGTGGAGAGCAGTATGGAGATTCCTTGGAAATAGGGAATGGAACCACCATTTGACCCAGCTATCCCTCTCCTGGGACCCAAAGGACTTAAAAACATCATACTACAGGGACACAGCCACATCAATGTTTATAGCAGCACAATTCACAATAACTAAACTGTGGAGCCAATTTAGATGTCCTTCAGTAGATGAATGGATTAAAAAAATGTGGCACAATATACCAATGGAATTATAATCAGCAATAAAAGAGAATAAAATCATGGCATTTGCAGGTAAATCCATGGCATTGGAGAAGATAATGCTAAGTGAAGTTAGCCAACCCCCCCACACACACAAAAGAAAACAAATGCCGAATGTTTTCTCTGATATAAGAAGAATGACTAATAGTGAGGTAGGGAGGGGGAGCATAGGAGGAATAGATGAATTTTAGATAGGGAAGAGGGATGGGAGGGAAAAGGAGGGGGCAGGGGATTAGCAAGAATGGTAGAATGTGATAGACATGATTATCCAAAGTACATCTATGAAGACATGAATTGGTGTGAAAATACTTTATATACAGAGGTATGAAAAATTGTTCTATATGTATAATAAGAATTGCGATGCATTCTGCTGTCATGTATTTAAAAAATAAAACCAATAAAAAATGTATTTCTATATGGGTCTTCAAGAGTCTTAAAACTGCTTGAATTAATCCAAAAGAATAACTTCATGAAAATGTGTGGGTGCATCATGGATATATACTTAATATTTTCAATATTCTGAAAAACCATGTACTGTGAACTCTATTATCTTCCCTTTGTAGCTGAATTTTCCTGAATGGGACAAAAATTAACAATAATTCTTTGGGTCAACACATGATATCATGGGTTTTGTTGTAAACTACAAATAGAAGAGTTTCTCCATGCAGATGCTATTTTCTGAGGGTGGAAGCTGGTGATGAATTATGGGATGGTAGTACTCACTCACAGAGCCTGGTAACCAGCCCTTCTCCTGAACTCATGCTGTCACCTAGGGTTTCCCCAGACTCAAAATACTGCAAAGAGTACTTACTACAGCAGTGTGAAGACATTTAAACTGTCCACAGGAATATGGTCATTCAGACTCCTCCATCCCTTTAGATTCAGTTCTGGATTTATTTGGCCCTGGGACACAACCCTTTAATTTGTCCCAAACTCATTGACCAGAAATCGCTTGTTGTCCTTGGGATGGGTGAAGTGTGAGAGGAAAAGTCTAGGTGTCAGTCTCAAGTGCTCAGGAGCAAGGACAGCAGCAGCAGTGACAAACCCATCCAAGCCACATGTGGTATCATTAGCTTGGGAAGCACCCACTGATACCAAAGCGAATTGCTTCTGTCCATTTGGAAAAGGCACCAGAGGCGGGGGATTTTGGTTTGTCCTGTGTGGTCAGGAATAGTCTTCTCTGTGACACAGACATTGAGGGAGGGTGGAGGTCTCCTGCCTTGTATACCCAGGGCGCTTATCAAAGTCTGTCAGCCTGCGACATGCCTTTTGCCTTCTGCCCCCGCTCTAACCTTGGAAGCCGACCTCTGGGGAGAGGCGGCCACTGGCTTAGGGACCAGGAGCCTGAGCGTTGCACAGCAAAGACCTGAGCTCCTAATTCTCCAGCTCGCCCACTGCAGCCCTGAGCTGCAGCCATCTGAACCTTCCTAGGGGACTGCCCTTGGTAAGTGCCTGGTCTCAGGGCGCGGTGGTGTTGTCCCAGTTCACAGATAGGCTCTGCCAACCCGGCTGGAGGTGTGCTGGGTCCCCGAAGACCCTGTCCCCAGGGCACAGGAGGGAAGGGGAGGCACTCAGTCCTCCACTAGGGAGCGAGTGGCGGGAAGGAGCAGGAAGGGAGAAGAGCCAGGGGAGAGGAGGTAAGTGCTTCAGGATTTCCAAAGCAGCACAAATGCTTGGTGTCACTGTGGAGTGGAAGCTGCTGTTTCTGGACACGTGTGAAAGATTAGGATGATTCCTTTCACCTCCATATCCATGCTTTACATATATGGGTTTTAATGCTCTGCCTCCGAGCACACACCTCCTAAGACTGGTGCCCTTGGTCACTTGAACTACTCTTAAGTGAGCAAATTTGTGTGATCGGAAAGATGGGTGGGTAATGGGTGCACATTTGGTTAGAAAAGAGCACATTTCTCAAATGACATGACTAAGTTTGTACCTTTGGCAGTTTGATTTGAGAGTTTAAAAAATAACACTGTCCAACCAGAATGTTTTTTT